CAAACCCAGGGGAGACTGGGGGGGGGTCCCTGAGGGAGCAGGGAAATGGGGAGACTGAGGGGATTTGGGGAAGGGGAGGGGAAATGGGGGGATTTGGGAAGGGTCCCTGAGGACTGGGGGGGCAAACTGGGAGCGGAACTGGGGACGGGGAAAGGGAAGGAGCAGAAAATACGGGAATGCCAAGGAGACTCCAGGGGCGCGGGACGAACAAACTGGGAGGAAGCAGGATCCGAACTGGTGTGAATGGGGCCCAGCCCCGTGTGAATGGGGCCCAGACTGGTGTGAATGGGACCCAGACTGGTGCGAATGGGACCCAGACTGGTGTGACTGGGACCCAGACTGGTGTGACTGGGGCCCAGACTGGTGTGAATGGGACCCAGACTGGTGTGAATGGGACCCAGACTGGTGTGAATGGGGCCCAGACTGGTGTGACTGGGACCCAGACTGGTGTGAATGGGACCCAGACTGGTGTGACTGGGACCCAGCCCCGTGTGGATGGGGCCCAGCCCGGTGTGAATGGGGCCCAGCCCGCTGTAACGGGATCTCGGTGTGCCAGGAGCCCCATGGTGACCGGGACGTCGGTGCTGGGGCTGAAGTTCTCCGGGGGAGTGATGCTGGCCGCGGACACGGTGGGGTCCTTTGGATCCCTGGCGCGATTCCGGGGCATCTCCCGGCTCCTCAAGGTCAACGACTCCACCGTGCTCGGAGCCTCCGGGGACCTGGCAGATTTCCAGCACCTGCGGCAGCTCCTGGAGCAGATGGTGTAAGATTCCCAGGAATTCCCAGCCCAAATTCCCTCGGGAATTCCGGGATTCCCCATCCCAAAATCCCCAGCTGATTCCCGGGGATTTGAGAATTTCCCATCCCCGTTGTTTTCTGTGTGCCAGTCCCCAGAACTCCTCTGCTCCAATCCCAGAATTCCTTGAGCACCAATCCTCAAATTCCTTGAGCACAATGCCCAGAGTTCCTTGGGCACAAATCCCTGAATTTCCTGGAGCTCCATCCCCGAATTCTGCGGCGTTTTTTGTTCTTCTCCAATCCCTGAACCCCTGATCTCCAATCCCTGAATCCCTGCTCTGCAATCCCTGCTCTCCAGTCCCCGAATCCCCGATCTCCAAGGCGGAATTCCGTGGAATTTCAGGATCGACGAGGAGCTGCTGGGGGACGGGCACAGCTACAGCCCGCGGGCGCTGCACTCGTGGCTGACGCGGGTCCTGTACAACCGGCGCTCCAAGATCAACCCCCTCTGGAACACCGTGCTCATCGCCGGCGTCTACGGCGGGGAGAGGTGACGGTCCCGGGACTGCCAGTTCCAGGGGTTTCTGCTCCTTCCCAGGGGAATTCCTGCTCCTTTTTCCCGCTGTGGCTCCTGCTGCTTCGCGGGGAAATGAGGCTTTTCCCTGGGGTGGTTTCTCCTCCTTCTTCCTGGGGAATTCCTGCTTTTTCCTGGGGTGGTTCCTGCTCTTTCCCAGGGGAATTCCCACTCTCCCCTTCCATTCCGCAGTTTCCTGGGATACGTGGACATGCTGGGCGTGGCCTACGAGGCGCCGTCGCTGGCCACGGGATTCGGGGCTTACCTGGCCCAGGTGAGCCCGGGCTCGGGTCTTCACTCCATCATTAAGTTCTTGATTGATTCTTTTCTTTTTTAGTTCATTCTTTTCTGGCTCGTCATTTTTTAATTGGTGGATCACTTGACCTGATTTTGATTGATTTGTTCCTTTATTCCCAATCCGTGTGCAGCCGCTGCTGCGGGCGGAGCTGGAGCGGGAGCGGGATCAGCTCCCGACGCGGGAGGAGGCGCGGGAGCTGCTGGAGCGCTGCCTGAAGGTGCTCTACTACAGGGACGCTCGCTCCTTTAATAGGGTTTGTATCCCAAATCCATCCCCAAATCCAGGGGATCCATCCCCAGATCCATGGGAATTCCCAAATCCATGGGATCCATGCCAAACCCATCCCAATCCCGGGATTCAGCAATGCCTGAAGGTGCTCTACTACAGGGACGCTCGCTCCTTTAACAGGGTTTGTATCCCAAATCCACCCCAAAATCCCGGGAATTCATCCCAAAATCCATCCCCAAATCCAGGGGGTCCATCCCCAGATCCATGGCAATTCCCAAATCCAGGGGATCCATCCCCAGATCCAAGGGAATTCCCAAATCCATGGGATCCATGCCAAACCCATCCCAATCCCGGGATTCAGCAATGCCTGAAGGTGCTCCACTACAGGGACGCTCGCTCCTTTAACAGGGTTTGTATCCCAAATCCACCCCAAAATCCCGGGAATTCATCCCAAAATCCATCCCCAAATCCATGGGATCCGCCCCAAACCAATCCCAGGGTTTTTCCCATGGAATTCCGGGTGGGATTGAGGAATTCCGGGCTTTTCCCGCAGTACGAGGTCGCCACGGTGACGGAGAAGGGCGTGGAGCTGGAGGGACCCCTGACCCTGGAGGCCAACTGGGACATCGCCCATCTGGTCAGGTAATTCCCACCTGGAACGTTGGTGTTTGGGAATTCTGGGGGTTCTGGGGACATCCAGTAATTCCCACCTGGATAACAGCAGGATTGGGAATTCCAGAGGGACATCCAGGTGTTCTGAGATCCAGGTGTTCTTCCTGCCCCTCTAACTCCTGTTTTTTGCCTTTTTTCCCCGTTTTTCCAGAGGTTTTGAGTGATCTCCAGGAGCTGCTCCGGCCACGGTGAATCCCTGTTTTTATTCCATCCCTTCTTTCCCTCTGGAATGGCAAATCCAGCTTTTTTTTGGGAATAAAATCGATCGTTTAAGACCTATCCGTGTGTTTGTTCTTTGGGAATCCTCAAAGTTCTGTGGGAATTCTCCCGGAAAACAGATTTCAGGGAGTTCTGGAATTCTGGGTGAATGCTGTGGCCCCAAATCCCAATTTTTACCGAAATTGTGAAATTTCTGAGGTGGGAAAAGCCCTTCTGGGATGGAGCCTGGGCATCCCTAAACCTTGTCCATGATTTTGGGGCATTCCATGGGATTTTGAGGCCATTCCCGAGCCTGGGAATTCCAGGCTGGGTTGGGATCTGTTGGTTGAATCCAAAACAGCCCAAATTTGCCCCAAATCCTTTTACAGGGAATTCTGAGAGGGTCCCAGTCTCCCTGTGGAAACAGAGGAAAAAAAAAAATTGCAGAAAAAGTGGGTTAAAATCCCAATTTTTGGGGAATTTTTTGCTGCTGCAAATGGACCCGCAGGGGTTTTTCTGGGAATTCCGGGGTTATGGAATATTTCAGTAAATGAAGGAAATTTCAATAAAATATTGGACCGTTTCTGTAAAACCCTGGAATATTTTACTAAAATACTGGAATATTTCAATAACCAAGGCTACAAAAATCCAATTAAAATGGAATTTTTCCTCTCCCTATTCCCAAAATTACTCCAGCAGCATTTTCCCAACTTTTCCTTAAAAAAACCCAGGAATTCTCCATGGAAAAAAACAATTCTGACCCTGAAGAAGTAATTAAATCCAGGACATTTCCACCCAAATCCCTTGGGAATGAAGGAATTTTTTCCACAATAAAAACACCGTTTATTTATAAATCCATTTCCCTGCTTTTATTCCATGTTCTCCACTCCTGTACAATTCCAAGCTGATCCATATTTTTTTATTTTTAAATTTTATTTATTTTGATTTTTTTTTAATTTTTTTTTCCTGTTTTCCTTTGGGAAAAAAAAAAAACACCAAAAAGAAAAAAAAAATAAAACAAAAACAAAAACAACAAAAAAACCCAAACCTCCACAAATCTTATGGAAAAACAGGTGCTGGGTGCCTCTGGAATTTGGGAATTCCAAGAACTTTTAAAATTTAAAAAAAAAAAAAAAAACATTTTTCCCAAAAAACATGCAAATTCCGGTAAAAAATCGGAGCTGGCAGTGAAAAATCAACCCAAAATCTTTTTTTTTAAATGGATTTTTTCGGGTTTCTTGTCACAGTTTTAGTCCCAAATCCTGGATTTTCTGATCCTAAGGAAGGCAGGGTTTTCCAGGATGGTTCTTTTTTAAATAAAGTTGATAATTAACAATCTAAAAGGGGGAAATCCAAGGAAAAGTTGGGTTTTTCTGCCCCTCCAATGGGAATTTTTTGGGGCAGAAATTAGGAAAATGGAGGTCAGGACAGGAAAAGCAGCGCCAGTCCCAAAAATTGCTGGTGTGGAATGGTGGCTCCACAATTCCCAAGACAAATTCCCTCAAAACTCCCTAAAATTCCACCAAAATTCGGTCAAAACTCCCAATTTCCATTAAAAAAACCCCAAAATAGCTGAATCTTCACAGCCAATCCGAAGGAATTTTCCGTAAAAACAGATTTTCTGGGTTAAATTCCAAAAAACAGTCAAGGAAAAAAGAAAAAACTCCCCAAAATTTTTTTGGGAGTTAAATCCGGGGATTTTTTGTCTTATTGGAAAAAAAAACTGGGCACAAACGACGTCAAATTCCCACCGCTAAAAACCAGGAATTATGGTACAAGTGAGGTAAAGAAAATTCCCAAAAAATATCCACCCACGAGAGAGAATTCCAAGGAAATACCAACACAGTGAATCCAAGTTGGGTTGTGGGTTTGGTTTTTTTTTTTTTTTTTTTTCAGTTTTTTTTAAATTTAAAAAATAAAGAAAAAAAAACCACACGAAAATCCTCCCAAAAAATTGGCGGAAACAGCAAATCTGCAAAAAATCCCAGAAATCCGCTGGGAACTGGGATCTTGTCTGTTTGTTCCGAAAACTGGGAATGTTCTTTGTTTTGGGGCCAAAAATTTGGGAATATTCTTTGATTCTGGGGCCAAAACTTGGGAAAATCCTTGGGTTTTTGGGGTTAAAAAACGGGAATATCCTTTAATTTCTGGGGCACTTTCGGCCCTCCAGAAACAGGGAACATCCTTTGATTTTTGGGGCCAAAACCAAGGAATTTCCTTTCATTTTGGCGGCCAAAAATAGGGGATATCCTTCAAGTTTGGGGGCGGAAAATTGGGAATAGCCTTCAATTTCTGGGATTTGTTTGGATCTCCAAAAAACAGGGAATATCCTTTACGTTCTGGGGGGGCTAGACACTGGGAATATCCTTCCATTTCTGCAGCCAAAAACTTGGAATATCCTTCAATTTTCGGGCCCAAAACCAGGGAACACCCCTTCCACTCCCAGCGCTCCTTGGCCTCTCCAAACCCAGGAATTTCCGGGATGAATCCGTCCCATTTTTTTTTCCTTTTTTTTTTTTCCGGGAATTCTCAAATTTCCATCAGATCCAAATCCGCCTCCTCGAAGCCGTAGAAGGACTCGGCCTCGCTCTCCCCCTCGAAGAGCCGGTGCAGGATTTCGGGATCGGCCTCGGGGTCGTCGTTTTCCGGGAATTCCGGGGACGATTCCCTGGTTTTGGCGATTTTCAGCCTCTCCTCCATGGTGGCGATCAGCTCCTCCTGCTCGTCGCCGTTGCGCCGCGGCGATCCCGAATCTCCGGCCGGCCCCGGCAGGACGCTGGCCACCAGGAAAGATTTCCGGATCAATTCCGGGCAATCCCCGAGGATTTCCAAAGCTTCTCCCAGCCACCCCAGCAGCAGCTGGAGCAGCGCGGAGGAGTCGGAATCCACCAGGTCTTTCGCCCGTTCTTTCCATTTTTTGTGGAGGAAATTTTTCAGGGATCTCTTGACGCACACGTCCAGCGGCTGGATGCGGGAGCTGCACCCGGCCGGGATGACGGCCGGCAGCGCCCCGGCCGTGCTGAGCACGGCCAGCACCTCCTCGGACAGGTGCGTCCGGTGGCAATCCAGGACCAGCATCCCTTTGGAAGCGCCGCCTCGGCATTCCGTGTGCTTCCTCCACACTCTGGCCGCCCACAATTCCATGATCTCGTCGTCGCCGCAGCCGTCCTCCTTGGACTCCAGCAGGATGGATTTGGGAAGGGCGGCCGGACAGGGGAGGCGACCCCTGGAGATGACCAGAGCGGGGAGGACGCTGCCGTCGGCCAGCACGGTCAGCACCAGCTCGCACCACGGCTCTCCGTTGCCCACGGTCTGCAGCGCGCTCTCCTTCCGCTCGTCGCTGCCCAGGACCTCCACGTCCAGGAAAAGGGAGATTTCATCCACGGCGGCGATCATGGCCAAGGGCAGCTCCTGCGTGTGGATCTGGCGCTGCACGAACTCGATGAAGGCTCCGGCGTTGCCCTGGATCTCCTTGGGAAGAGGGTGGGCGACGCCGCGGCGCGTGTGGGTGCTGAGGTGGTGGCGCAGCATGAACCTGACGGCCCACTCGTAGGAGATCTGGAACCCTCCCTCCAGGGCCCGCCCGATCTTGGTGGCCTTCTGGAAGAGCGTCTCCTCGTTGACCGGCAGCTGCTGCTCGCGCTGCGTCAGGACCCACTCGGCCAGCTTCTCCTCGGCCTCCAGGCTGAGGTACTTGCCCTCGGGCAGCTCGGGGCGGTCGTCCTGGAAGGCCTGGAAGCGCCGGAGCCAGCGGCGGATGCGGCGCGGAGGGTTCCGGAAATGCTGGGCCGCCTGCTCCGTGCTGGAGCAGAGGGCGAACAGGACCACGCGCAGCTTCTTGACGGAAAGCTGCTCCTTTTTGGTGGGCTCGGGGTCCTTTTGGGGAGGGTCCGGCGGGTTCGGGGCGGGGTCTGCGTCGGGGGGCTG